ATCTTAATATATAAATGATTTTGTTATAGTTTATATATATATATATATATATATATATATATATATATATGTATATATATATATATATATATATATATCAATTGATTGATTTAGGCCTATTTAGCTATAGTGTTACTTTTAAATTGAAAATTAGAATATTTTCTTATTTCAAATCAACAAACGTATATAATCAGTTTCTATATTATTTGCACAGACCGCTACATTAACTGTTTATCTATTTTAGGATTTTTGTAGTAAATGTCTGTAAATCACTGAAAACTTAATTGTTTTGATCTACGTTTGATTGGAAGTGAATGTATTTGATTATTTCGAATGATTTAATATTCAATGTTGTAAGTTGTCAGTGTTTATGATAGGCAATATGTTTTTGTAAGTGTAGAAGTTTTACAAAAAAAAAAAGAACACATTTAATATTTATTTTTCTTACTTGTCTTTTCAAATTGAACAATTTCATACTACTAGTCATTTCTTATATTTCATCTTTTTGCGCTGATGTCTCCTTCATTTTAACATTTTACCACAAACTTAACTCTCTTGAATGTTTTAGTGTTTTTAATTTTTTTTAAGTTGATTTGAGTGCACACTTTTTAAATTAAGTCTTGTTTCAAATGAATTTCTGTTATTTTTAATAGGCAATAAAAATTATCTTGAAACTTAACAAGGAGAACGAAATGCAGCATGAAAAACAAACAAGAAACTACAATTCTCATTGATAATTATTCTCACAACACCAACAGCGCCACCTACAAAAATATGTATTGATGAGCTAGTAACAATTACATTTATATAGATCCATGGCGTATAACAGGATAGATAATATAATCATAGAGCAAAGAAACGGTGTAATGCATACTTCAAGTATTAAAGTGCACACCATCATGTTGGGATTCAATATTTCGACATTAAATTATGTCATCATCAGAATAACAGAATAGCTTTCTTTCTTTCCTTCTTCTTTTATTGTATCGGAAATCAATAATAGTTTAAAAGCTAGTTCGGGTTTGGCCCTTCAAAAACATCGTTTAAAAAACAAGTACTTAATTAATTATATACCATTCTCATTTTCACCATTGTTTTTAAATGAAGTTATTATTTTTAATACTATTTTTTAAATATTAAGAGTTGGAGTGGATCCGCCACACCATAAAAATCCCATCTCAAGAAGGTAGGATAAATTGGCCAAAAACTGACAACCAGTAGGCCTAAGAGAATGTGATTACTTAATCAAAACAGTTTTAGAACTCAGCTTTCAGGGGAAAGCACAAAGAGGAAGGAAAAAACATAGCATTTATTGATCAAATATGAAACAGAGTGACAGTTATTTTAAAATTAAAAGAATAGCTGGGAATAGACAGCTCTAAAATAAGGATACCATCATAGGACCTGCCAAAATAGCGTACCAATGAATGAATGAGGCCTAGTTGTTAATTATAGGCCTATAGTGTACTGTAGGTGCTTCTTGATTACAAGGCTTAGGCTAAGTTAATTAATGGCGAAATTATATATGGTTATTTAATTATTTTTATTATTATTTTGTTATTAATATTATTATTGTTATTATAATTATTATAATAATTATTATTATTATTATTATTATTATTATTATTATTATTATTATTATTTAATATTAATTACATTACAAGGCTTAGGCCAAGTTCATTAATGCCGAAGTCATATATTTAATTTATTATTATTTAATAATATTTGTTTTACTCACTGTCCCATTAATTTCATGTTTTAAATTTTTTTCAAAATTTCAGTCAATGGTATGCGAAGCGTGACTGTTGTGTCAGGCCTAGGAACCTAAGGGCCTAGGCTAGGGGGGGGGGGCGGCTAGCATGTAGGACCTGACTTGTAACTATGCCCACTAGTTTAGCCTCTTTTTCTCTAGCCTTTGATAGGAATGTACCTATATTACTGGTACTACACCCTAGAGAAGGGGTTACTAGCTGTTGTTGTTGTTGTAGGTAGTAGGCATATTACATTTGAAAACAAACATACAAGAAGCTCACAGTTAGTTACAGACGTAGCCTACATCCCATAAATCGGTTAAATAAGAACAGTCGAACAGTACAGTAATGGTAATAGAATACTCGAGCGTCACGACATTGCGAAGTACCTGCTCTTGTTCGTATCGAACTCGAGTCGAGTCAATCCGGGACGGCCCGAGTGGAGTTTCATGCAAATGTTTCTTACGGGGAAAAAATCGCGATTATGGTGACGTAAATTTAATAATTAGACAAATAACGTGCAAGTCTACCCATACACTTAAATTAGTGTAGAAAACTAGATGACGTCGGTACGATGTTTCTTTAAAAAAAAAATTAACAATATTTATTTTTTATTTATTTATTTTTTTAAATTAAAAGTCTTAGCTACTGGTGTGAAAAAGTTCTAGTAATGGTAGGCTAATTATTTTTTTTGATGTATGTTTCGTTTCCATGCCAACTTGTGTCACTGTGTGCATGCTACACTGCACATAGAATGTGTGGGTCTATGCCTTTAGCTGGGCACTTACTGCGCACAACGTCGGCCGATGTGATGCTACGAAGAACGCCACACGACGCGCGCAACGGATCGTTTTTAACAATATCATATTAGGTAAGCATGTGGTTAAAATAAGCAATTCAAGAATGTATCCCAATGAAACTGTTTATCATCTTGATACCTTCCGACGAAAATTGACCGGCGCCCCCCCCCCCCTTCGTCATTAGAAGTTATTTAGTATAACTTTATTCGGAAAATTAATCTCAAAATTGAGTTGCCGTCCCTGGCGTTGTCTGTGACGTCGTATGATATGATATTGTGTGCGATTTTTACCAATTAACCCCTAAGTAAAAAATAGTTGAGCCATGTAATACCTTGCAAATCAACCCATAAATCCGGTAGTTTGTTGATTGTTTATTGGTAGCGTCCCTTCGCTATACGTATCCCATGCTCTATTTATTATTTTGTTATTCCCTCTCTAACTCTAAATTAACTTGCTCGTTGGTAACGCTGTCCAAAATGGGAAATACTAAAAATAATAATAAGGGACTTGTGGCAAGTCTACCAACTACACCCGATCGCGACAGGGTTGTAGTTGACTCACGACCAAGAATAAGCTGATAAACATCTCTGATAGAAGACAAGTTCCCATGAGCAAGCACTCCATCCCCGCGCTATTCCCACAACAGCGAAATCCGTCTTTCACAGTACAAAGTGTAACAAGGTTTGTCTTCAAATGAATACCGCTTATCCATGATATTCCTATGTGACTAACAAATAGTGCTTCCCGTGAGAAAACGGGAACAAGTCAATAGTGCCCCCAATGTGAGAACTATACAAATTATGAATAATTTGTTATATGTGTTATTTGGTGTGTGGAAAATATCTACAAACAAACAACAAAACAAAACAAAAAGAACTAGCTGTCTGTGACGTTCTGCAATATTGTTAGCTGATTGGTCAAATCCTTAAACTTAACTGCACGCTTCGGTGAACTTAATAATACAGTAGTTTAAACTTGTGATGATACTGGATAGCAAGATCAACAGATCGTAAGACAGAGGTACAAAGTTTCACTTGCCGTTATGCATTAACCATGGAGGAATTCTTTTCCCATGTCCTTAAGTATGTGTGCATAAGACTAGTGTCTTAGTAGGTTTTCCACTGTGAATGGACGTTGGCTTGAACGGTTTGCTTGCAGAACCTTAAAATAACATTTTCTATCAGAAAAAATGCCGTTTATACAGATGGTTCGTCAATTATCTTCGGATATGAAACCCAAGTGTGAAACGTTTCTAAACGAATCAAAGGAACTTTTAAGAATAGGATGGATTTTGGTAAGTTTGTATTTACTGATAATTCACATATTTCATATAAATGAATGCATGATGGCTTTCCATTCACAACAATATACTTTTTATTCGTTTTGCTTGAATGCAACCGTTTATGTAATCACCATAACAGAATAGTCATTGGGGCGACGTTGGGATTTTGAATCTTAACTTAAACAACTGATTTATATTTTTTGTATTTTAATCATCATTTCGGTGTTTTGGATACCACTGTCATTTTTTATTTGGTTTAGCGTCCGATAGAATACCGAACTAGACACGGCTATCTATTGTCATCGCAGTGCCCCACTGGCGTCCCTGAAACCATACAGAAATCTTCTCTATGATCTAACATTATGAAAGTAAAATACAAAATACAAAAGGAAGGCGAATACTTATTCCTTGGCGAAAGCTTTTTCAAAGGGCTATTGTTTGGGTATTTGCGTGAACAATAGGATTTTAAGTGTTGAGCGAAGACTTTTTGACTTAAAACTCGATTATTTAAATATTAGATTGTCGTATATTTCATATTATTTCTTAGTTTTACTTGGTTTATGGTGCTAAAACAGGATTCCGAGTGCATATTTAATTTAAAATGAATAAGCATCTTTAGTAAGTAATTTGTATAGTCCTTTAAGAATTTGGACTAGGCCCTAAATATAGTAAAAAGAAAAGATTTTGAAATACACACCTACTTCGGAAACTGACTGTGAATAAAATAATTACTTAGTCACTATAAGTATTTGTATTATATTAAATAATTAGTTGATTACCGTACACAGTTACATGTTATTTTATTGAATTTTACAGCAATAAATTATATGACTAGGCGTATATAACATTAGCTATAAAAATATGAATGTATAGGCATATATATATATATATATATATATATATATATATATATATTTATATATACATATTTGTGTGTGTTTAATATTTTTACAAGGGCTATCTTTAATTTAGGTGGTGACTTTCTTATGTTGGTTGGTTGATTAATTGATTTTATTAAAGTCGGTCATGAACATTTTCAAAGTACATCTACTGTTTAGTTTATAGGCTAAAACATAGGTTTCAACAATATAAGAGTAGGAGCAACAAATACCGGTCCGAGTATCGTATTTTACAAGGTAACTGTCCAAAGCAATATTATTATTGAAATTTTGTGGGCGTAATTCATGTGTTTTGGCAGTAGGCCGACACTTGATCTGATCTATCAAAGCACACGCAACTGATTCTAACTAGCTTTTGTGTGTTATAATGAAGCTAACAAAATGAGATTCCGAGTATTCACTAGCTAAACCAAAGAATCATTATTAAGAGTGACGCAGTTGACCACACCTTTAATTCAGTATTGTATATAGGGCTGAAAGTGAAATGCTTTGAGGGTCAGGCTAGCAGGAAAGACGAATAGGTTGACCCTGGTTGGACAGCATTGTATAGTTGTGGGAGAAGGCTGAGCTAAGCATGTAGGCCTACATTATCTCCAGACTTAACCGTTATAAGTAGGCCTATGATTTTTTTTAAACCCTGTATGATGTTGCTCATTATTACAGATTGTATTGTATTGCTCATTTTAATTTTTACATTATTGAACAAAAAGCAGCCAATGGACCAGATTCAAAATGAGGTGGGTGAGGGGGTGGACGAAATCGATTAATGATTCTAGTTAAATACCGATACGACACACACATAATATTTAAGTAACTCAGTTTTTTAATTTGCATACATTTATAACTACGGAATTCTTTAAACTAATACCAGTCAATTTAATGGGTTTTTAAAAAATAATTTTGGAACAGTTTAGGTGTTTATAATCACATTCATAATAAAAAAAATCATTTCACAAACTCAGAAAAATTAAAATTTTAATTAAAATTGTATCATCCATAGCATAAGCAATTCTTCAAATGCATTTATAGCCATATTAGCAAAATATTTACATAAACTATCCTGGCGCTATGACTACCTGACGTATCGATTTATTTACCAATACCCGCCAAGAAATACTCAAGATATCAAGCATTCTCAAAGAATAAAAATGATAACACATTAGCTTTAAGGATGTAAATTAGAAACCCCTTTACATAGAACATGTTAAATTTTAGAAACAATGATCAACCCATCAGCGAAAAAGCTCATTTACAGTTATACAAAAGTTATATAAAAAATATACGTGCAATTACCATGTGGACCTTTTAAAAATTGACACTGTGGCCTAAAAGTTCAACAGGTAATTGTGACCGATCTTTGAAATGCCAGAGATTTAGTTGAAAAAATACGACTCAATAAGGAATGTATTGTATAATGCCCCATAAGACGGAACCATATTCGTATAATAATATAGTGATTACTAGGTCGCGCCTAGCCTAACATGGATTTACTAATAATAGCCACGAAATACTCAAGATATTAAGCATTCTCAACGAATAAAATACAGTAATAACACAATAACTTTATCAATTTTAGGAAAAATGATAAGCCCATCAACGAAAAAGTTCGTTTACAGTTAATTCATGTGTTTTGGCAGTAGGCCGACACTTGTTCCGATCTATCAAAGCACACGCAACTGATTCTACCTAGCTTTTGTGTGGTATAATGAAATGAGATTCCGAGTATTCACTAGCTGAACCAAAGAATCATTATTAAGAGTGACGCAGTTGACCACACCTTTAATTCAGTATTGTATGTAGGGCTGAAAGTAAAATGCTTTGAGGGTCAGGCTAGCAGGAAAGACGAATAGGTTGACCCTGGTTGGACAGCATTGTATAGTTGTGGGAGAGCGGCTGAGCTAAGCCTGTAGGCCTACAGTATCTCCAGACTTAACCGTTATAAGTAGGCCTATGATTTTTTAAAACCCTGTATGATGTTGCTCATTATTACAGATTGTATTGTATTGCACATTTTAATGTTTACATTACTGAACAAAAAGCAGCCAATGGACCAGATTCAAAATGAGGTGTGTGAGGGGGTGGACGAAATCGATTAATGGTTCTAGTTAACTACTGATACGACACACACATAACATTTAAGTAACTCAGTTTCTTAATTTGCATACATTTATAACTACGGAATTCTTTAAACTAATACCAGTCAATTTAATGGGTTTTTAAAAAATAATTCTGGAACAGTTTAGTTGTTTAAAATCACATTCATAATTAAAAAAAAAATCATTTCACACACTCAGAAAAATTAAAATTTTAATTAAAATTGTATCATCCATAGCATAAGCAATTCTTCAAATTCATTTATAGCCATTAGCAAAATATTTACATAAACTAGCCTGGCGCTATGACTACCTGACGTATCGATTTATTTACCAATACCCGCCAAGAAATACTCAAGATATCAAGCATTCTCAACGAATAAAAATGATAACACATTAGCTTTAAGGATGTAAATTAGAAACCCCTTTACATAGAACATGTTAAATTTTAGAAACAATGATCAACCCATCAGCGAAAAAGCTCATTTACAGTTATACAAAAGTTATATAAAAAATATACGTGCAATTACCATGTGGATCTTTTAAAAATTGACACTGTGGCCTAAAAGTTCACCAGGTAATCGTGACCGATCTTTGAAATGCCAGAGATTTAGTTGAAAAAATACGACTCAATAAGGAATGTATTGTATAATGCCCCATAAGACGGAACCATATTCGTATAATAATATAGTGATTACTAGGTCGCGCCTAGCCTAACATGGATTTACTAATAATAGCCACGAAATACTCAAGATATTAAGCATTCTCAACGAATATAATACAGTAATAACACAATAACTTTACATAAAAGTGTTCAATTTTAGGAAAAATGATAAGCCCATCAACGAAAAAGTTCGTTAACAGTGAAAAGAAATAACTTTTTGGCAATTTTTCGCCTGATATAACATCATGATTTTTCTTAAAATGAAATTATAAGTAGTAATTGTCCCCATCATTTTTCATGTTCTATCATGTCTTAATTTGTACCTGTATATGTTAGTGCTACGCATCAACTTTGCTATATATAGGCCTATATAATATATATGTATATATATAAGGCCTATATCACATATATGTATATTATATATATATATATATATACACATATATGTATATATGTATATGTACATATTTATGTATATGCATATATATATATATATATATATATATAATATAAATCAAGATAGCCGTAAACACTGTTAAATTTCATATTAATCATCAAAGAAAGGTAAATACAGTGTTCGAATAAAGGACATAATAATACATCGTGTAGCATAGCTCTCAACGAATGTAGTCCTGTAAATAAATGAATAAAGAAGTTGTGTAATAAAATGCCTCTGGCGGGACTCGAACCTGCGACCTCTCGCTGTCAAGGCGAACGTCCTAACCATTAGACCTCGGAGGTTTTATGGCTGAACAGATTCAAATACCACCAGATACACTC